GTTTAGGGTTTAAAAGGAAGAAAGGCAAATCACAAAAGGAGACATACACGAACAAGAAAAAGAGAAAAAAAAAACAAAGAGGAGACAGATAAACACAGAGACAACACAACACAAGAGGCCAGACGTAGAGAGGCAGATTGAGAGACAAAAAACAAAAAGAAAAAAGAAACAAACAAACAAATAAACAAATAAACAAACAAACAAACAAGTAGAAACAAGAGAGCAAGGATATATAAGCAAGCAAACAAACACAAGCAAACAAGAAACACTAGTAGGAACAGACGAAAAAACAGCACCAGCAGCAGCAGCAACAGCAGCAGCAGCAGCAGCAGCAGAAGCAGCAGCAGCAGCAGAAGCAGCAGCAGCAGCAGCAGCAGCAGGAGAGAAGCCGAACCCGTTTGGTTGTGGTGCATATACACTGAAGAGGAGTCTGTAGATTGAGATATCCCTTTCTACTGCTTGTAGTTTATTTTGTAGTTCTGTTTGTTTATTTATTTGTTTGTGTAATGCTGCTTGTTGCTGCTGCTCGAGTTGCTGCTCGTTATACAGCACCTGCTGCAGCTGCTGTAGCAACTGCTGCTGCTGCTGCAGCCGTTGCTGCCGACGCTGCAGCACCCGTGCTGCTGCTTCACCCGCTACAGCCAGCAGCAGCAGCTGCTGCAGTTCAGAGGCAGTCTCCATAAGCAGCAGCAAACCCTAAACCCTAACCAATAGAGCTAACCCTAAACCCTAAACAAGAAACTACAGCAAAGATATACAACAACCAGCGGAGAGAAGACACAAGGATAGGCGGAAGAGACAAAGCTACAAGCAAGAGAAGAAAAGCAAGAGGGAAAAAAAGAGCAGCTGAGCAGTACTAAACCCTAGAAAGCGAAAAAACAAAAAAAAAAGAAAAAAAAAAAAGAAAAAAAAAACCACCACCACTAAAGCCCCAAACTCCACCACACAGACGAAGACAAGCAAGCAGCTAACCAGCGCTAAACCGCTGACCCTAAACCCTAATAAACAAAGAAAGAAACGAGGATAAGGAGGTGGCAATGCAACACTAAACCCTAAACCCTAATAAGTAAACAAAGACGAACTGAAATCATCATAGAGAAGGGAGGGGGTCGCGGATATAAATAAAGAGAAACAAATACAGACAGTTAGGTGTAAACAACGAGATGAACCCCATCCTCTGTCTGTTTTATTTGCCTTTCTAGATCGTTGCCTAGGGTTTAGGGTTTAGGGTTTAGGGTTTAGGGTTGTTTCGTCGTTGTCTTCCTGGGCGTTGCGGCTGCGGCGGGAGAATGAGAAAGCGGAAAATGGTTGAAATACACAGAAAAACAAAAAAAATTAAATAAAGCCAAAATAAAACAAAACAGAACTCAAAAAAGAATTAATAAAATAAAATTGCGAAGAATAACAACAAATGCGTTAAGGGAGAAAGCAGAAACTCGGCGCACAGAAAGTACAAGAAAGGAGTATTAGTAGTAACAGCAGCAGCAGCAGAACTAAGAATATGCATTTATATATATTTTTAATTTACTTATTATTAAAAATTAAACAATGGTTTATTTATTAATTATATTATTACGATGATTTCATTTGCATTACGACTACATGCCGCTCGCGCCACGGGGCTGGAAGCGTAAACCCTAAACCCTAATTCATGAACAGTAAACCTTAAACCCTGAAAACTAAAACCCTGAACCTTGAGTTCTAATTGTCAAATTATAAACCGCGTGATGTGTGCGAGTACAATGAAGTATTAAATACGTTATATTCTCTACTGTGGAGACGTGAAACCTGAATACAATATTTGCTGTGTACAGCTTACCCAGGCAACGTGCAACACGCTAGCAACATGCAGCAACAGATAGATATAATATATCAACGCTCAGCACCTTCATGCAGAGCTATAAATATAGTGGATGCAGAGGATAAGGCAAGCTGAGATCTGGGGTGCAGTAGACTGACGCAGGAAGCACCTGTTTGTATACAATGGCTTCAAGTGCAGCAGCACATAAGAACTTAGTTTCTCATGTTTTGAATATTTATTTCGTTCTGAAATTTATTGAAAACATTTATTTCGAGTGCAACTTGCTCGATCTATTCGTGTGACTTGCTCTCTTGCCGTGATCAAGGAAAGCACAGAAACGAGCTGTAATGCAGGTAAAAACTTAAAAAGTAAAAGTTTCCGAGAAGCAGCTGGCCTCATCCCTCTATCCTCAGGCCTCCTGGGTGTTGAGCTCAGCTCTGGTTGCTGCGGGGGGGAAGCAGCCAGAAGCGGGGTGTGTGTTTTCTGGTAATACAAGCCAGTCTCAGGCGTGTAGAGAGAAGAAAGCTGCAACGAAGTTTCCTGTATTGCATGCTTTTCCTCTGAATACACTCGGTGAAAGCTTGTATCTGCTTACACAAAACCTATAAATACCAAGTGAAGGCTCCTGTGCAGCTGCAGGCAGAGGAAGCTACAGCTCCACAGCAACCTGAATTTCCTTGTCCAGTCGATAGAGTAATTTCATCTTAATTGTTATTTTTTTGCTGACAAAAAAAAAGAAAATAAATGTTTCAATAAGTATTTCAATTTGTTTCGGTGCATCAAAATCTGAATTGCTTTCTCTCTAGGAAACATTGAGGGAACCTGTAGGGTATTGCACCGTACGCGCCGCATTACATATATATATATATATATATATATATATATATATATATATATATATATATATATATATATATATATATGTACATAAGCCTATTTTGTAAACCCTAAACCCTACATTGTAAACCCTAAACCCTAAACACCGCATGTTCGTAAGTCCTAAACCACCGCTAAACCCTAAACCAAAACATTAAAGAACGGTGTTACAGCTGAATACCGAAAACCTTAAAAGGAAAACAAAAGAACGGGCAAATATAAACAACCAACGAAAAAAAAACAAGCAAAAAAACGAGCAGTTGTGTAGCTGCTGCTGCAGCGGCTGTGGGCCCTTAACTGCTGCAGCAACAGGAGAGCAGAGCAAAACCCTAGAGATGTACAGCCACCTCTCACGAGGGGCTGTCTTCTTTTAGGGTTTCTCTTCTTTCTAGGTTTCGTCTTCTTTTTAGGGTTTGTGTTGGTATTAGGGTTTGGGTTTATTTGCGCTCTTCCGCCCTCAGCCTAAGCGCTGTGCACCATTTTCTCTATTCTCAACTGTAGCTAGCTACCTAGCTAGCTAGCTAGCTCGTGGCTAGCTAGCTAGCTCAGGATAGCTCGGTAGCGACAGTTGAGGGTTTAGATGACCACTAAAGGCTGGATACGGCAACTGCAGACCCTAAACCCTAAACCGAAGGCCTCCCTCGACGCCGCAAGTTTAACCCCTAAACCCTAAACCCCCAACCTAAACCCTAAACCCTAAACCCTTGTGGTTTGACTCGACAGTGTTAATGGCTCCCTGGAACCCTATGCCCCAAACCCTAAACCCTAAACCCTCGTTATGTAGCTTCAAACATAATATAATATCGTTTATCTCCTTTGTTTGGTTGGTGGCGCTATCATACAATAAACTGACGATGGTGTTTTAGGGTTTAGGGTTCAGCGTATAATGTTTAAGGTTTAATTTGTTTGCTGCGCGTGCATGCATGCATGCATGCATGCACAGCATCAAGCTCATGTACGCCAGTGGGGCCCCCATTTGTCTCGGCCCCTCAGCGCCTCTCCATCCCCCCCCAGGTACTTCTTTAGTAGCTCTCGCCCCTCAGCAAAAGCGACAGTACCTGCTGCTGCTGCTGCTGCTGCTGCTGCAGTTGTAGGTGCAGCAGAAGCTGCAGCAGCAGGCGCAAAGGAAATTTGTTTGTATCTAAGTTTCGTTGTTTCTGTCTGTCTCCGTTGGCTTGTTTCATCTGTCTGCGTTTCGTCTCCTGCTGCTGCTGCAGCACCAGGCCATTGCTGCTTCTTCAGGAGCTGCAGCAGCCGCTTTGCTTCGATGCTTCTCTCTTCTGCACTGGGGTGTACAGACAGATGCTGCTGCTGCTCCCGCTGCAGCAGCGGGTCTGCTGCTGCAGCAAGACGTAGTTTTGTTTCATTTGTTGCTGCTTTATCTATCTTGATGGCCTGTGCATGCAGCCGCTCCCACCAAGGAGTTTTGTTTGGGTTTGTGTAGCGTTTGCTGCTGTTTATTTGGGGCTTGAATGTGCATGCATGCATTTCTTCTTTTTCTTTTTGTCTGTTGCTCACGCATCCGTACAGCTGCGTCTCTATCTCCTCCTTTAGTGCTGCTGCTGCTGCAGCAGACAGCAAACCACGACGAACCTCATCGCGGTATAATGCTGCTGTCTTCAAACGCAAACTACGCAGAGTCACACCGCTGCTGCTGCTGCTGCTGCTGCTGCTGCTGCTGNGCTGTTGCTGCTGCTGCTGTTGCTGCTGCTGCTGTTGCTGCTGCTGCTGTTGCTGCTGCTGCTGCTGCTGGCGCTCTGGTCAGCGGTACGGGTGACTGCACTGCTGCTGCTGGGGGCAGGAGAAGTATTTATATCCGATCGCATAACGAGTCGATTCATTTTCTTCTGTTGCTGCTGTTGCTGCTGCTGCTGTTGCAGTTGTTGCTGTTGCTGCTCTTGCTGTTGCTGCTGTTGCTGCTGTTGCTGTTGCTTTTGTTGCTCTCGTTGTCCTTGCTGTTGCTGCAGCTGCTGCCAGTGCAGCTTTCTCAGATGCTGTCTTTGCAGCAATCGCAGCCGTCTCTCGAGTTTCTCCTCTAGCGGCAGTTGCTGCTGCTGCTGCTGCTGCTGCTGCTGCTGCTGCTGCTGCTGCTGCTGCTGCTGGTGTTCGGTTCTTCCATCATCTTCGTGCGTATCCTTAAACCTAACCACCTGTGTTTGTCTGTCTCTCCTTGAGGATGAGGGAAAGGGGACAGAAGAAGGAGGAGACAGCAGGCGGGTGGTGTCTGCTGAGCTGCCTATACACCCCGATGCTGCTGCTGCAACGGCCCAGCGGTGCTGATATTTGTCTCCTTCTTTCTCTTTTTCTCTCCACTTCTCTTGCTCTTGTTTGTCTCCCACTCTGAAGTTGTTTCTTTCTTTGTAGCTGTTGATGATTGCCCCCTTCTGCTGGCCCTTCGTTGTGCTGCTAGAGGCAGCAGAAAGCACCAGCTGCTGCTGCTGCTGCTGCTGCTGCTGCTGCTGCTGCTGCCTGTTCAACTGCTGTTGTTTCTTTTCTTCTGCCTCCTGAAACAGCTGCTGCTGTTCCTCTTGGTAGTTTTTTATGTGCAGCGCAGCACGAGAGAGAAGAGCAGCAGCAAGCAAAGCAGCTTCTGCACGAGGGTCCTTCGGTGTCTCTGTTTTTGTTTCTTTCTCTGTCTCCACCTTTGTCTCTGTCTCTGCTTCTCTTTTTGTTGTCTCTGTCTCTGTATTTATCTCTTTCTCTGTCTCTGTATCTGTCTTCGTTGCTTGCTTCTCTTTCTCTGCTGCGTCTGTCTCCTCCTGCTGAGACGCTGCTCCGGCTGTCACGGCATCAGCTGCTGCTGCTTCTGCTGCTGCTGCTGCTGCTGCTGCTTCTGGGTTGTATGTGCTGCCGCTTGCATGCAGCTCTTGCTGCTGCTTTCTCTGTACCCCGATGCAACCTCCTTCAGGTGTACACGCAGCTTGGGGTCTGCGGGTAGCTATCACTCCGTCTCTAAAAGAGAAAGAAGATAAAGTGGGCCTCATATTCACAGGCAGCAACAGCAGCAGAGAATGCAAGCTCCTGCTCTCTCTCTCTCTGCTGTGCTGCTGCTGCTACTGCTGCTGCTGCAGTGCTGTTGGTATGTTGCTGTTGAGCCGTCGCTGTGTTGCTGTTGGACTTCTGCTGCGCTGCAGCAGTGCTCCTGCTGTGCTGCTGCTATCCTGATGCTGCGCTGCTGCTGTGTTGCTGATGCGCTGGTGGTGTGCTTATCGTCTTCTCTTCGTTTGAGGCCCCGTTGCAGTTGCTGCAGCAGCCCGCTCGCTGCTGCAGCTGCAGCGGCTGCAGCAGCTGACGAAGAGGATGCAACAAACAAATACAGACAAAGAAATATATTTGCTGAAGGCTTGGGGGGAGAGAAGAAATACTCTGCTTCTACAGAAACCCTCAGCTGTACGTGGATGGCTGGCCCCTAACCAATGGTCTAACTGTGCAGACAGTCGGGAAGAAGACCTCGTTGCCTTTGTTACAAACCGACATAAAAAAGAAATACATATATTTATTTAATATAATTAAGTTTATTTGTCAATTCAAATATAATAAATGCAGCTGCTGCTGAGGCAGAGGGGGTACCTACGACGAGGCACAGAAGGCACCGCACCGCCGAGGCCGAGCCTGCACTGCGTCGAGCCCAGTGCAAAACACGCTAAAAAAAAAGAAGAAACATGCAAAATTTTAAAATATTTAAATTGTTTCAATAAATAATATATTTAATTTCATATTTTTGTTGCTTTTCTCTGCTTTATCTCGGCCTCTAGGGCAAACGGAATTCAAGCGCCGCCGTCACCCCTTGACCCCCAGTTCAATAGTCCTCCAGTATTGAGATGATCATACACTTCTCTAAGCATGTATATATATATATATATATA